AGCAGCCTGGAAAAATAGCTGGAGAAGATTGGCCAGGCTGGGGAAGTGGCTGGGATATTTTGCTGCCCAAAGGTTGGGGCATGGCTTTCTGGCTTCCTCTTGTAAGTGGTCCTTCAGTTTGAAATACAGGGGGAAATTGACATTAATTGCTCTGATGTGTTTCTGATTTTCCCATTCACTTACAATACTGGTTTACCGTGGCTGGATTATTTAATCCTGTGAAGGAATGGAACAATCTCCACCATATATTTGCATTTAGCTCTTGGTATGTTTAATAAGATTGCCTTTAGGGGGGAGGAAATTGTTCTCAGTTCCACACAGAGTTCATTGGAAAGAGACACCAAGACAAAGCTGTCTTGCTGGGCTGGAGAAATGCAACTCAAAGGCGGTTTTGAGAATGTAGGGCTTCCTTCACTGATTGGCTGAGATCTGGGTGGGATTACAAGAGCTAAGATATATAAACAAGAGGAACGAAGCAGTGAGGAGGCAGATGAAATAATGGTGAGTCAGAGCACCAAGGGGGCAAGAGCTGAGAAGAAATCTCTCTGGGGGAGCTCGGCTGGTACAAGGATGAAGTTGAACTAAAGGGGAGTGGCTGTATTTTATCACCAGCCAGGACAGGAAACACTTTGGTTAGGCTTGACTTGGATACGTTTATCCTAGCTTCCTTACTGGAATGTTCTTAGATTTTTTTTGTGTGTGGAAACTACTCAAAGATGGTTTTTTTCTAGTATATATTCATGCTTTTAAAAATATCAATAAAATCTTGATGTGTTTTGTAAGCATGTTGGTCTCTGAAGCTTTTCCTACCCTGTGTCTGAAGCTTTTCCTACCCTGTGTCTGAAGTTATCCCACCCTCTGATAATTCATGGTGAGTTTGGTCAGCCCCTATAAAGATATAAAGAAAAGGCTGATGGGTGGAGGTAGCTGTGGGGAAGGGACAAAAGGTATCCACTTGGTGGCGGCAGTAAAAGCTACTGGAGGGGAGGAGTCAAAAGGGGCCCAGAAACTGCCTTGATTCACCTTCCCTCCCTCTCTGTGTAGACTGTTGCCCAGACTGCAACAAATGCACACAACTAATTTTTGGTATACCTTGTGCTGTTCAGCAGTATGACTCTGGTCTGTTAGAAGAGATGGGATATGCCTCCACGAACTGGAAAATGCTTTGTCTACTGACTGACTTGGCATATCCTGTTCTTGGACCAGTGGAGCCACCAGAAGGAGCAGAATTTCGGCACATGTGCTGGGTCTCATTTTTATTGATGCTTTTTTTGGGGGGGGGGACTCTCACCCAATCCTCTAGTCTCAGGTGCTCAGAGGTCTCTTGCAATGCATTTCTGCATTCCCAAAATGGATGGCTCCCTTTGTTTCCTAGAGTTTTTACATGGAAGTTCACTTGTCTTGTAAAAACATAAATGCAAGTCAAAGGACATCTGCATTACGTCAGCTGTGCTTGAGTGAAAGCAAGTGCTCGAGCGTGTATTTGTGATGCAGAAATCCTACAGGAAAGGGATTGAAGTGGTATTTTTGTAATAAAAAAATGCAAAAAATGGAAAGCAAAAGTTGCAGGTGGTAAATCCAGAATAACTTCTAATGTAAACCTGTTTCTCTAGGAATGTTACAGTGAAGGTTGGTGAAGTATTGTGAAATTCCCTTTTTTCCCTTTCTTAGACCTCCTGCAAGCTCTGTCTTTAGGAACACGGCCTTGTTCTACTCTTATTTAGATCCTCGCACTGCTTATGAATTATATCACCATGGAGGTTGTGTCTGTATTTTGTTTTATTCTCTCTACAGATGAGAGATTTTGTGATGGTACTGCTGTATAGTAAAACAGTCCATATTGGGTTATTGGCGAATCTTACTTTGATGTTTTTGTACTAAACTGTTAGTCTTCAATTAGGAGTCATTCTTTTTGAACTAGTTTAAAACCTCCACTTAAAAAAAAATATTTTTTATTGTTTGTTTAGTCTGTTACATCAAATATTTGTAGCTATATACAATTTCATCCCTTTCCTCCCTCCCTCCCTCCCTCCCTTTTAATCTTAATCTTTTCATCCCAGCCAGGGGCACAAAGTCTTAATCTTCCACTGAATGTCCTTTCTTTTCTTTTTTTCACTCTAGGTAGGTCTTCCATCTGGTCTTAATTTCTGTGGATTTTTCTTTTCATGTTGTACCCTTGTTGATTGATGCCACGGTATCTGACTGTATTAAAACCTCCACTTGATAATGGAAAAGGAGGGAAAATAGTTGAAAAAGAGAAAGGCACGGTCTTGCCGTTAGAAGTGTCTGAGATAATAAAATGCTCTTGCCTTGTAGATCTATCGAGGTGCACGAGTGGGCGGCTTGCAGGAGGGTCTGAAACATTCCCTGTATAAAAGAACTCCTCATGTTCCCAGTGACTACCCAGACTGTCCTGCTGGTATCCAGTTTGCTAGAGAAGTAGAGAGGGATCTTCTGGAAAAATTTAAGAGGTAAGTGTCTGAAGTGAATTGCTTTGATCTTAAAGGCTCCTTTTGGAACTGTGGATGAGCTGGCCATGATGTACAATATACATGTAACTAGTAAGTAACTTCTACATTAAAGCATTTTATCAAACTAATTGTAAGCAAAGTTTTGGTAAATTCTAGCTGTGATAACTCTTCAGGAAAACCTGCTGTGAAAGACCCAAGGTAAAGGTAAAGGTTCCCTTGCTCAAAAGCCAGTCGAATCCGACTCTAGGGTTGCGGTGCTCCTCTCCGTTTCAAAGCCGAAGAGCCAGCGCTGTCCAAAGACGTTTCCATGGTCATGTGGCCGGCATGACTAAACACCAAGGCGCACAGAATGCTGTTACCTTCCCACTGAAGTGGTACCTATTTATCTAGTTGCAATTTCTTGCTTTCGAACTGCTAGGTTGGCAGGACCCAAACAGACTTTAAATACTAACTCAGTATGTTAAGACAAAGTACTTTGGTTCAGTTAATAATTAGGGGGAAATTCCAATTAAAAGTAATCTTAGACTGACCTCACCTAGATAGCCCAGGCTAGCCCTATCTTGTCAGATCCCAGAAGCTAAGCAGGGTCCACCCTGGCTAGTATTTGGAAGGGATGCAGAGGCAGCAGGCCATGGCAAACCACCCCTGAACGTCTCTTGCCTTGAAAACCCTACGGGGGTCGCCATAAGTCAGCCATGACTTGACGACACTTTCCATCACCCATCTTTGATTGAGCAAAAGTTTGTACGAAGGTAACTTCTATTTGCATTAGAATGTTCTTTCACGCCTTCTGAAGAGGAGATGTTGTTCCTTTGCCACAGGCGTCCTCCTGCGAAAAGAGCGAATTACGTTAAACATGGGACCCTGGCACCGTTTTTCTGCCCCTGGGAGAAGCTCACCCTGGATTGGAAGGTTCAGCATGAAGCTGGCCAGAGAGCTGAGGGCTCATCAGTCCTGGGCAGTGGGGACTCGGCTGCTGAAGGAGGAGAGGCTTCTCGTGGCCCCTTGACAGGCCAGTTGAGGACAGAGATGGATGCGTCTTCCCAAGACAACATGCAGGTGGAAAATGTGACTGGCATGACAGATCCGTGTGAGAAAGATGAAACGACATCAGATTGTGCCTTTTGTGTCCTCAGGTATGTGGAACAAATCCCTGATTTATCTGTTGGGGCAGCGTGGTGCGGTGGTTTGACCTAGGATCTGGGTGGCCTGCGTTCCAGTCACCACTCTGCCATGGAAGCTGGCTGGGTGACCTTGGGCCAGCCACACACTCAGCTTTCATCTTACTCACAGGGCCATTGTGAGGATAAAATAGAGGGAGAACAATGTTGTGAGCAGCTCTGGATCCCCACTGAGGAGAAAAGTGGAATATAAATACCTCAGATAAATAAATGAGGAGAAATACAATTCTGGCCGGCAAGAATTATTCTTGGAGACTGGCCCGTAGCTGTCTTGGGATGGAAGTGAGCCTCGGAGCACAGCATCCCCTTAGGGCTCCCTTAAATTTTCTTTGGCTCTAAAACTTAGGAGCCAGGCTTATTTTTCAGCCTTCAGGCTTTTGTATTTTAATGACCATATTATCTACTTAATGCTGCCAGCAAACCTAGTTCTAAGCTCTTAAAGTTTTTCTTGTGATTTTGTTCAAGTTGTCACTCAAGCATTGTAGTGTATAAATATCAGGTAGCCCTGGTTGTCATCACCAAACCAAAAAACTAACCTCTAGCCCTAACATAACTTCTCTCAAATTTCTCATAACTCCATTACAGCCCATACAGAAAAGCAACTGCTCTCCAAATGAATTCATCCACTATTTCTAAATGGTGTTGTGGCAGCTGCATGCCATTAGGGGGCGAGAGGGGCCCAGTCTAAACCTCTTAAAGTTTCTCTTGTGATTTTGTTCAAGTTGTCACTAAAGCATTGTAGTGTATAAATATCAGGTAGCCCTGGTTGTCATCACCAAACCAAAAAACTAACCTCTAGCCCTAACATAACTTCTCTCAAATTTCTCATAACTCCATTACAGCCCATACAGAAAAGCAACTGCTCTCCAAATGAATTCATCCACTATTTCTAAATGGTGTTGTGGCAGCTGCATGCCATTAGGGGGCGAGAGGGGCCCAGTCTAGTACCTAGTAGCAGGCAGAAGGGCCATGAGGGCAGGCACTCACACCAGTGTGGCATGGCAGGACTGTCCTGGCTTTGGAGCCACAAGGGGCCAGGCAGCCAGGCGCAAGAATACACCTATCAAAGCATTGGGTGGAGCTCAATTGCTGAGCTGTGGCCTGTCAGCCCCAGGCAGCCACACTCCATGCGACTGGGGAAGAGGAAATGGCAACGGAGAAAGAAACGGGAAATGCAGGGGGTGGGGCCATCTGAGGGGAGTAGAGGGAGGAGCCTGCAGGTTAAAAGGAGTGGCAGAGCCTTCTGGATGCAAAGCAGATGCTCTGCCACTGAGCCATGGCCCTTCCCCCACCTCTTCCACCTGTGTTGCACAACTAGTAATGGGTTTTGTTGTTGTGGGGGGGAGGCATTCCGTTGCTTGCCATAGCTCTCGCCTCCTCTCACAAGTATGCGGCTTCGTTCAGGGTGCAAGCCAACTGTGATGCTCTTAATTGTCAACTTTTCAAGTCATTCTACCAGTTCACTCAACATGGATTCTGTGTGTGCCCCCACCGACTGCAAAAGATGATGCTTCGGTCTTCTGTACACATGTGGAGTGCACTGTTTCATTTAAACCCTGATCTTTTACTCTTTTTGAACTACTGCAAGACGAACAGATTCCCCTGACAAAGCCTGTTGGCGAAACGCAGTGGGAATTTTTGGAAATTTAACTGAGTAATAAAATATACTTTTACCTGAGTTTGCACCATCGGCCATGGCCCAAGGTCTGTGCAGACCTGATGTTTTTATTCCATGTGTATACACACTCACACCCACTTGGCAAATTTAGCAACAGAATATGGATGTGTTGCTGGTATGAATATTAGCAGTTACCCATCTCAGTAAAACATGTATACTGCATTACAGGATGAGCTAATATGAGGTATCCTTTCAATAGGAGCAGGAAACTACTACGGCAGGTCTCAGCCTGGTGTCAGCCTGCGCGTGTCAAAGCTCAAAAGATCCGGCACCGTGCTTCCAAGTTGTAGCAGGAATTGACTGAAGATGCCCTCTTGCCTGTTGTTCAATGCTATCCTAGGGCACTAGTCTGGGTCTGCTTGACCCTTCTTAAAAAAGGTAGCCCTGAATTGCACGCCATGATCTGCATCCCATCAAAAGAAGATCTACTTCAGCTAAGCAAAGACAAAAACTTCTGTGGTCCACAGGAACCTAAACACAGCGATGTCTTCAAGAAAATGGTTTTAAAACAAAAGGAAATGAAAAAGAGGGCGAAGACTGGGAAGGCAGTCCAAAATATTATGTCTAGTACCATGAACATAACCCCAACCGAGCAAGAGGATCTAATTCTAGGCTTATGGCCTGAGCCACTGCCAGATGCGACATCCCACTGTTCCAGAGTTCTCTTAGGATTTGTCGCTCAGGGGGACTTCTCATTGGCCTTTGGCTGTGGGGAAGCTCTAGGTTTTGTTAGCCTGACAGGACTACTGAGGATGTTGCTGGATCAGCCAGAAGGCCAGAAAGGGCTTATTTTGTTAAGGAATCCAGCATCACTTCAGTATAGATTTGCTAGACTTACTGTTGAAGTATAACTTGGTTGGGACTCACTGCTACTGAGGAAGCCTTTCTGTGAAACTGTATGGCTTCTTCTTCTAGATGCAGTGACCCCCCCCCAAAAAAAAAGGGTACCTCACTTTTGTCAATATGCAGTTTGAAATAGACTTTATAGTAGACTGAAAGTGCATGTCAAAGTAAAAGCTGTGTTGCTTAGAATTTGTTTTATATGTGCATATAATATTTTTATAAAAACAAGCAGTCAAACGTTTTTGTTACAGACTCTCATTTTTATTGTATAAATGTTTTGCCTCAGTGAAGGGACTGCTTTCCCATTATTTTTTTGTGTAGCTGAAATTGTCTTACACAAAAATTAGCTCTTTTCCTCACTCCCACATATTGGTGAGGCGAGGCATGCCGGTTTGTTGAACCCGTACGTATAACAAATAGACTGTTTGAATCTGCTGCTTTTTGTGACCAAGCTGTGCACAAAACAGTGTACGGACATTCTTTCCCATTCCTGTTCAGAAAAAGTGCATTTTGTCTGAACTTACTCTAAAAATAGGAGTTGAATACACTGTTAAAGCTATGAAATGCCAGTTGTTACAAGGGTTTCTGGATGTAACTTCCATTGTGTTCTGCTTTGCAGAAGAGCCTTCAGTACTGTTGATAAAACTTGGTTGGCTTGCCCTTTTAAACCATACAATATGATGGGAATGTAAAATTATATGACTTCTCCAAATGGGTGTAACACTGCTCCAATCAACAAGCACCTGTATGTTGTATCAGAAGGCGATAAACTTCCTTGCAATATAAAATTAATGTGATGTGTGTTTTTAAATCCTCCTAAAGATGTGTTTGAGGAGGACCTGCTGTGACAAGGGAAGGGGTAACCAACAAGACATATCTCTTGTTTGGGATTAAGGTTATTGGCTCCTGTGCAGAGGAAATGATTTGCCCATGTCCTGAGAGACCTTTTTAGTTCATGCTTAAGAGTCAGCAGCTTGTATCTGACAAAGGGAGCTTTTTGACTCAAGGGTTGATACTGAAAATCTTGTTGATCTCTAAGGTGCTACTGGACTCAGATCTAGGTCTTCTGTAGACCAAATACGGCTACTCTCTGAAACTATCTTCCAGTTCAAGAGATGTACTGTAGGGCAAGGAAAAAAAAAATAGATGCTGCCTTTATAATTAAATGAAGAGGAGCCGTATGAACAGCCAGGTGACACGAAAGACCTCTTCCTGAGACCTTGGAGAGCGGCTTCCAGTCTGCATAGGCAATACTGACTTTGATGGACCCAGGACCTGATTCAGTATAAGGCAGTTTCATGTGATCAGTCCCCTCCGAAGACTGCAGATGGGTCTCCTTCACTTCCCCCCATGAAAAGCTGCTTCTAATGGCCCCGTGCTCCTTTGGGTGCAGTGCAGGCTGCTGAGGACTGAGAGGGAATGGGTAGAAGTCGTGTGTGTGTGTGTACACGAGCATTTCCACAAAGTGAGCAAGAGCTTGTACAATACTTTGGGTTGATTCACCACCTTCCTTCAGCCTTCCATGTTACTGTTCAAAGGGTTCCCTGACCCTTGGAAATGGGAGGGGGACAAGGGGAAGTAAGAGAAGTCCATTTATCTAATGCCTTTTATTCTCAATTCACTGCATCCAGCCTATATTTAGAGTCCTTTGTAAACTTATTAGTACAATGAGGTGTTCTAAAACTGTTTCATAGAAAGGATTGATGTTCTAGGTTACCTTCCACATAGTTAAGGGGTATTTGTCACCTCTGTGCTAATGCTGACTCGCTACACCTGTTCCTTGGACAGCATAATTTGGTACTATAGATTATGACATCTTAATCTGTGAGTTGCAGGTTGTTTCGTAGCAGATGATGCTTTTGCACTTTATAACAGCAGCTGTGACATGTTTTAAGTCCGGTCTCAAATAATATTCAACACTGTAAATATGGAAACTGGCCACAAGATGTCCCCACAGGAAAAATAATACCTTGGGCTTTTACACAGCTTACTAGTTCTAAATACTAACGCATTGTATAGTTCTGTGCAAACAATAGGGCAGGTTTTCTCATGGTAACATTTCTGGATTTCAGCTTTGGGATTTGCATCCAGTACAGTAACAGCTCCGAAGTTCTTTGTCATGTAGATTTCGGACCCTTTCAACAAGGACTGCTTATTGCTTTATTTTCAGAATGCAGTTGACTAAGTAGTCAAAAAGAGCTGACAGGGAGGGCAATTGCATCTCTCTACTTACAGCATTAAACGTCCGATTGCCTTCAATGATTGCCTTCAACGGGGGTCTGCTACATGTTGGTTAGGAAAAAGGAAGGCAGCTGTGGGGATGGCCTGAGAAGGTGCTTTCTGTTTATTCCTATAGAATTTGGACTACATGTCCTTGAATGTGGCACTTTTGTCTCTGCCAACATACCATTGCTGTAGCTCCCAGCTTGACTAATGGGATAAGCCAGCCCTGGATCAGAGGCGCATGGGGAATGCTTTTCATGCTAACGGATGTTTGTGTCAGTAATTAAGGCTGTCCTGGCAACCAACGGCTTCTGAGCTTTGCCAAGGGCCTGGATTACTAATGAGTACCTTAATATTAGTACTGGAATGTGAGTGTAACATCCCTCTGCCTAGAGTAAAACTGCTGCTTCAGACTGAAGGGCTGTGTCTACTAACAAGTCATGCCACCAGTGTGGCTGAGTAGAGCACATGTGCTGCATTTACTGGAGCTGGTCTTGCGGTTCGTAGTCCAGTCGTAAGAGCAAGTGTGCCATTGAATAAAATAACTCTGGAATAGGCTTGCTTAAGATTGCTCCCTATGACGATCTTCTACAGTTGTGTCATTTTGATCAAAGTTCATTTAGCCTGTAGCTTGATGAGGGGCAGCTTTATTCTACAATGTAAAAAAACAGAACTGTACATTTAGCCACTTCTTTAGCTGGCGTTGGGATCTGGTGTATTGGTGAGGGAAGGAGGTGGCATGAATTCCTGTTCTGGCTGGGGGGGCAGACAGGGAAGGTTATAGATTTCAGTCTTGTGAATGATACAGATATATCCCAGTTCAGTATTAAATCTTGTAATACATCCTGTAACCCTCCGTCTAGTTATTTCAGCTATTTATTTTGATATTTCTTCTTTCTCCCCAGTGGGTTTCCAAAACAGCTTAAAGTATCATTCTCCTGTTTCATCCTCACAGCAACCATCCTGTGAGATGGCCAATCACTCTTTCTCAGCCTAGCCCAAGCTCACCCAATGGCATAATAGGGATTTGAATCTGGGTGTCCCATATCCTGTTCCTACACTCTAACCCAGGGGTGTCAAACATGTGGCCTGGGGGCCAGAACCAGCCCATCCAGGGTTCTTATCTGGCCTTCAAGCAACTGGTGCAAGAGAGAGAAGGCAGGAGGCTGCTGGGGGGGGAGCGGACACGCAGGTGCACACGTTAAGCAGTGTTCCCTCTAAGCTGAGTTACTGTGAGCTAGCTCACAGTTTTCTAGCCTCTGGCTCACACTTTTTTGTCTTAGCTCAGGAAGGATGGCTGAAGAGCAAACTAATTGGTGCATTAGCCAAATTGCTTGCTCTCAACTTTAATGCCAGTAGCTCACAACGTAGAATTTTTGCTCACAAGGCTCCACAGCTTAGAGGGAGCATTGATATAAAGGTGTGTGTGGTCAAAGCTGTCAAGAAGTGAAAGAAAATGGCTATGGGGCAGGTATGGAAAAACCTTAGTCTTGCATATGATTAAATACACTTACTGGGGCTTTTGTGGATTCCCCAGTAAATCAATTGCTTTCACTCCTAGAAATCAATTTATTTTGTTTGTATTTTGAGTAAAAAATAATATTGTTAATTTGGTTTGTCTCATTTATAAAGTTTATATCTCTGGTACCTAGCATTGCATTTTATGGCAGACATGGCCCAGCCTGCCAAAGTAACTTCAATGTCAGATCCAGCCTGTGTAACAAACGACTTTGACACCTCTGCTCAAGCCACTCTAGCCTTGTTCACATGTTACAGTGAATGCATATTCATCTTGTATGTACATGTATACACCTGTTTGTAAACAAGAGCCAATACACATTGTACATGAAACCAGAGACCAATACCTGGCTAAATATAGGTTTTCAATCATATGTTCAGCTGTACATGCGTTAAGAACATAAGAACATAAGAGAAGGCAATGTTGGATCAGGCCAATGGCCCATCTAGTCCAACACGTCACACAGTGGCCAATAATAGCAGGTGCCCTCAGGAGGTCCACCAGTGGGACCAGGACACTAGAAGCCCTCCCACTGTTGCCCCCCCCCCAAGCACCAAGAATGCATCACTTGCCCCAGACAGTTCCTATCTATACCTTGTGGCTAACAGCCTCTGATGGACCTCTGCTCCATATGTTTATCCAATTCCCTCTTGAAGCCATCCATGCTTGGAGCCACCACCACCACCTCCTGCGGCAGTGAATTCCATGTGTTAATCACTCTTTGGGTGAAGAAGTATTTCCTTTTATCTGTTCTAACCTGACCGCTTAGCAATTTCATGGAGTGCCCACGAGTTCTTGTATTGTGAGAAAGGGAGAAAAGTGCCTCTTTCTCAACCTGCTCTATCCCATGCATAATCTTATAAACCTCGATCATGTCACCCCTCAGCCGTCGTTTCTCCAAGCTAAAGAGCCCCAAGCGCTTTAACCTTTCTTCATAGAGAAATGTTCCAACCCTTTTATCATTCTAGTTGCCTTTTTCTGCACTTTTCCCAATGCTATAATATCCTTTTTGAGGTGTGGTGACCAGAACTGTACACAGTACTCCAAATGAGGACGTACCATCGATCTATACAGGGGCTAAATATAGCATGAGAATGGTTAAATATAGCATGCGAATTATTCAACGCACATATAAAGAAAAATCAAATATATACTACATGGATTGTACATCTGTTCACTGTAACTTGTGAACACAGGACTTTTACCATGCTGCTGTTTAAATCAGGGTTGGTATTAAATATGAGTTCAAATTGAAGCCTTGAGGGGATTTTTAGTTGTTTGACATCAAGGACCTTAAGAGCCTCTTGCCCAGAGTGAAAGAGGAGAGTGCAAAAGTGGGCTT